TGGAAATCAATTTTATTTCCATTAAATGCTCAAACTCAACCGAGAGAAAACACCACACAATCCTTTTAGAGTAGGATCTACAACTTCTTACATATTGAATACATAAAAAGACTGCATACAGATGAATATCTAAATCAATTAGCTTTGAAACCACTAGGGCTTTTGAGCAGTAGCTTCCATTAGCTTAAGGTCCCCTGCCAATTTCCACTCCAGTTCATTCTTCATTCTGAGAATCTAACCCTCCTTTGTCATAAACAGTTTCCCATGAATTCTCCTACATCGTTCCATCTATACTCCACTAACCACAAGATTCCATAGAAGTCTCCCAACCTTACAGTTTTTAAAATATTGCACAGCTTCCATCAAACCTTCCTGTCAACTTGCATTGGGACTATAATTCCAGTTATGTGGGAAACATACTGCTACTACCCTTTCACAAACTCACATTGGCAAAAAAAAGTGATCTCTGGTTTCTCAGTGATTGGAGCACAGAGACAATGTTGTGTCCAGACTCCAGATCAGGCTTCTATTTCTTCACCTTGTCCACAGTACTTATTCTAATCAAAGTAATCAACCATGTAATCATAGAGTTCCTAGGTATGTAGAACCGTGATGTAGACTGTAGTGGGTGTCAAATTTACATGGCGTCTTGCAGTCAAAATCACGCTTTAAAACTTAAAAACTTACGATTTTACGCTTTTAGGTCACCAAAACGCTTTCGTTTCCATATAAAAACTTACATGTACAAAATCGGACTAAATTGCGCTTTAAAGCTTAGTTCGCCAAAACGCTTTACGGTTTTACGCTTTTAGTTCAATAAATGAGTATTCTTTTCATGAAATTAATTATAAAAAGTATATTTCAAATGTGAATCACCATTAATATGATAAATTTGAGATTAAAAGATACATACGAGGTACTTGGATGCATTCTCAACTTCAATAGAGTAATCTAATTCACCATCTAGGCTTTTCCCAAATTGATCATTAGCATAGAGGGAAAATTGGCTTATTTTAAAATTTATGTTTACGAAATTATTATTAAGATGCTATAAGTTGCTCTACTTTAGGTATAAATCGCATGTATTTATTAACTTATCTAAATTCTGTGCATTCATATTTTGCATAGCATATGTCCTACTTAATAGATTTTAGTTATTTTTCAGTATGCGTAAAAAACTTACGATTTTACGCTTTGATTCTACGTTTTACGATTTTACCTCTTTTCCGCTTCTAGGTAGAATCGCGCTTTTGAAGAAGACCAAGATCAAATTCCTATAGGGCCTCTCGCACACCACTTACTCAGGCGGCGAGATATAGTTCCATTGAGTTAGAAAATGATGTAGGAGGTTGAGATGACTCCGGTTTTGAAAATCTAAAGATAAAAAGAAGGAAAACATATAGAAAAATAAACCTTTGCTATGGTTGGACGAGTGAGAGAGTAGAGAAGGATAGACTTTGCATAGGCAAGCTCTCCCTAGGTCTCCAGGTTATGGTCCCTCGATGATCGGCGACATACAAGCTGCTAATTCCTTAGATCATCTGATCACACCTTGTGCCAAAGCATTTACCTTGGACTAATGGGTGATAAGGACCCTTCGAATAACTCCTCGAGGCATCACGTCGTTTGATTGAATTACACTCGATCAAATAGAAACACCATGTATGGTCTAATTCTAAGCGACTTGGATTTTGATCCTTGCAAGTTGCACCTCAAAGGAGTTCAAGATTGACTAGGATCTCATTCGAATCAACAAAAGATGAAATAGAGGTAATCAAGCACCACACATATAAAATAAAGCAATCGTATTAAAACGAAATCATTGAGTTTACCTAACCTTTACACCTAGGGTTCACACACCTATGCAAGTGAAGGAACTAGCAGTTGTGGAGAAGTGTTCCTAGGCGATCATCATTGAAATAACGTCCCAGGGAGCCACTAGGATTGGCTGCCACAATAAAGAAACCTGTGTCTATATCGCTATTTCTGGCACCGATTCCTCCTTCTCAGTTGGTTTCACTCTAGGTTAGGTGAGTCACTCTGTTGGCAGAGTAACAACCCTTCATTGACCTCTCGTCTCCTCCTCCTAATTCTATCTCTGAAGGCCTATTTGTAGTCCCTTGATTAGACTATATGGGGAGAGAAACTCGTATCTAGTGCATCACTCGGCCAATAAGAAAGCTCCAAACTGGTGGCCAGCAAATCAGGAAGCTCCCATGTAACTTTCTGACTAATTAGAGGTGCCACGTCAAAATAGTGGCTGCATCACCATTCCTTATCATGGGCATGCATTTTTGGCGTCGTTTCTTTAAGAGCATCTTCTCTTCGAGTCTCGGCTCCAGCAACCGGGTCTCAATGTCCCCTTCAGCTACCAAGTGGTCCACTAGCCTGCTTTGACCTGAAAATGCACAGAACGCTATCAAAGACATATCAAACCAACAAAAGCAATCCTAAGGTTGCTAAAATACACTTCAAGAATTCATAGCACGATATCAAGGTATTATAATGATAAATATATGAAATGAATACACTTTGGATCATAATACATGGGTCTAGAATAGTCAATTCGACATGTCATCAAACTGCTTCCAAATCAGGACATGCCATCTCAGGGGGTTCCAGACTTTGCTCACTAAGTATTTACTGATTACCTCACCCTGCCATGTCACACCAGCTGAGTTTTCTGGATATGATCTGCAAGATTTTTTTCAAAAATACCACCCTAACACAAAAAGACCAAAAATACCACTGTTTTCGAAAAAATTCCAAGTATACCATCCTTTCACACAGAACGAAACTGCGGGAAGCCCTGGAGGGTTCTAGGACGGCAAAAAGAAACGCTACCGGCCCTAACAGTCCAATTTACCGATATATAAACCGTAGAGGTCAGTGGTAGTTTATATGTCTTCCTCATCCCCTCGACAGCCGACATGTCGGCATGCAGTGGGTCCGAGGACGTTGGGTTGCATGTTTCTTGAAAACTGTCAACCCCCTAGCGGTTTAAGATGAACCGCAGGGGATGGTGGCAGTTTTCACATGACATTTTGGATATAAAAGTCAGTCTCGGATATCCCAACTCTTTACTAGTGCCTTTCCTTCTTCTTCTACAAAATTTTGTTCTACTACCTACTTTTTTTGAGTTTCTACAATTAACCTTACTTCGTAAGTTTGTTTGGTGATAATTTTTATTTCGATTTGTAATTTTTAAATGCTTATTATTCAAAAAGTATTCATGTGTATGTCTTCACAAATTTTATGGTATTAATTTAGTTATGGTTTTATTGCAGATGTCCTTCCAAAACTTCACTCCTGAGTTACGGTAAAATGGCTATACGGAAGATACTGGAAAGTGGTACATTACGTCGATGGTGATTGTCATAAAATGAAGTTCGCTACAAGACCAAACCTTAAAGAGCTCCGTCAAATGTATACTACGGTTACTTGCATGGAGTGAGATTCGTTATGGTATGAGAAATTGCTTATAACCCTTTAGGAGGAACTTGATGTCATGCTCAAATTTCTGTATGTCTATAATAACGTGCCTAAAAGATAGATTTCCCAATCTATATTTCTTGATCCAGACAATCATAAGGATTTCAAAACAATAATTAGCATATCCAGAAGAACAATATTTGTCTGCGGAATGATTTTCAACAATTTTTAGGAAACTTTATATTGAGGATTTAAATCCTTTTAAAAGACGATGGGCATAATTTTAAGATGCATAATTATGAGTAACTAAATCTGAATCCTTCTTTTAAGTGGCTGCAGATTTAGGGGTGGAGAATTAAAGAAATTTATTTTCCCTATTTTTCTTGATTGAATCATATCTTCTCTATTCTAACTCGGATTCCAATTTTTTTTTTTTCACAGATGGAATGAGTTTGTTGTGCTCTACAAAATGATATCTATTTTCAATATTTTTTAGAAAAAATATTTCCTGCCTCTCGCTACCAACTCCATACCATATGGTATCTCCTTCGATTTTTAGTCGTTTTCGAAATTTTTTGCATAGAAGGAACGATTTAATCATGATCTATTAGATTTTAAATTTTTATGGGTGAAAAAATTCCATACCTCTCGTTATCAACTCCATACCATACTATACCACCTTGGTATGTGGTGGTATTTTTCATACCATATGGTATGCTGTTATTTAATATCAGTCAATACCATATGGTACAGTCAAATACCAAATGGTATAGACTGGTAATAACTGGCCAATTGTTTTGTTCCAAAAATATCAAAGTAAATATCATTTTGAAGAGCACAATTAATATGATCTAATTGTGCAAAAAAAAATTAAATTCCGAGTTAAAACCAGTGAGAGATTGTCTGTTAAAGATTAAGAGAATGAAAATTAAAGATTTTTCGAGGAGAGAGAAGGAGGCGCTGATGTGGCGGATTCTTATTGGGTTATGCATTGGTTATAGCACCACAAGGTGACTCACCGGATCTGCTCCCCTTTTAAAATCACGTATCAGTTGTGCTCAAGATATGGTGCATAACCTTAGCAAGCTTAACCTGAGTAATCAATTCTGGACTTTTTTTTAAATGTTTGCAGATCTAAGGGTTGTAAATTAAAGACATTTTATTTCCCCCTATTTTTCTTAATCGGATCATATCTTCTTCATTCTAACTCGAATTTCAATTTTTTTTGCACAGATGGAACGAGTTCGTTGTACTCTACAAAATGAGATACATTGTCAATATTTTTGAGGAAAAAAAATTCATACATCTCGTTACCAACTCCATACCATATGGTATCTCCTTCATTTTTTAGTTGTTTTCGGAAATTTTTGCACAAAAGGAACGATTTAATCATGATCTATTGGATTTCAAAAATTTATGGGTGAAAAAATTTCATACCTCTCGTTATCAACTCCATGACATACTATACCCCCTGGTATGAGGTAGTATTTTTCATACCATACGGTATAGACTGGTAATAACTAGCTCAAATTTTTAACTTGAGCTATTAACTTTGTGTCATTTGTGTCCTAAAGTATTCGATATGACAATTGTGTCCTAAAGTATTCGTCGGGGAGGAAGAAGTCGAATTGGGGATCCTGGTAGCGCTCCTGGAGCCAGTAGTCGCGGAACCAGGCGGAGGATTGGATGAGTGACCACCACTGATCGGAGAAGTCCTCCACCGCCTGGTAAGCCATGGGGACGAACATCGGGGCATTCGGATTCAAGCTCGACTGCTGATGAGCAAACATTACATCCATTGCTGCTGCAAGAAAATGGGGGAAAAGTGTTTGACGAGGTCTAGAGATTGAGGATAAGGCTAATCGGTAGAGATGATAGTGAGAAGTTTTTTCATTTTTCATTTTTTAATTTCTCCATTTTATTTTTATTTAAATTTTAACTAAAAATATGAGGTGTCAATGATGTGGCATCTACGTGGCTGCCACGTGTTTGCCACATCAGCAAAAGTCAACATCAAGTTGACCACCATCTGGTCAACCGTTATATATAACGGTCAATAAAATCGCCAGGACATAAATGACATAAAACTATAATATTTTGGGACACAAATGTCATATCGGATACTTTAGGACACAAATGACATAAAGTTAATAGTTCGGGTTTCCCAGTGGTATTAGCCCTTATATTTATCATAGTGATCCGCAATCCAACCACACCCATCCGCCATCCACCCAATCGAATCCACAGAAGTATGTGAGTGGATTGCGGATCACAATTATTCTAACCAAAACCCACCCAACCCTCCTGTTGCTCACTCCTACTTCTTTATGTATAGTGAATGAGATATGATGTGCTGAAATTTCATAAGAGATTCGAACAATTATTTAACTATGCAAAGATCCGCATCAGCACCAAAATTTCCGCTCAATTGCTAAAAAAAGGCGAGAAATTATTGCATACACCGGGAGTACCACGTCACCAATCCCACGTGGTGCTCCCATCCAATAGCTGATCGCCACATGTCCCAAAAATTTCATTAACTACTTTTTAGGCTTAATTGCAAGTTTGGTCACTCGAATTGCTATAAAATTTCACGTTTGCCACTCAAATTAATTTATTCCATTTATAGTCACTCGAATTAGTTGAACAGTTCAAGTTCGGTCACTCTCCGTTAACCTCTGTTAACTTTGACTGACGTGGCGGTCAACTCTGACAGTTGACCGTTAAATGTGTGACGTGGCAAATAAAAAATATTTAAAAAATAAAAATTAAATTTTTAAAAATTACACATCATTATAAAGAGTTTTTACCCAAATTCCACCTCCTTTCTCTGTCCATTGGTGACGAACAGTTTTTACCCATTCTCTCGCACTGAAAAATCAAAGTCAAAGTCTTCCCTTGGCCTGGCCCTTTCCTTGCCTTTGGTTTCCTCAGGCAGGGAGCCATTCTCTCCTCCTCGGGTCCGGCGTTTACCCTTGTTCCCGTCCCGTCCAGTCCAGTCCAGTGATGAAAAGCCCGGAGCCGGCATCCTACGCTTCCCGGACCCCTAGCTCCGGCCCCCGCTACAACGCCTCCAGCTTCCCTCCTTATTCTCCCACCTCCGCCTCAACCGCCAAGAAGCGCAACCCGGCGGCTGAGGCCTTGAGATCGATCGCCGGCCTCTTCGCTTCTTGCTTCACCCCTCCACAGCTTGACGCCTCTAGCAACTTGGATCCCTCCAATTCTCGTTCTGGTATAGTCTCGGCATGCAGTCTGAAAGCAATCAGCGAATTCAGCGATTGGAAATTTGATTCGATTTCTTTTCTTTTCTTCTCTTTGTTGTTTGCAGTTGCGTCTGATGGTTCGGGATCCGGAAAGAGACGACGGAGCTCGGCTGGGGGAAGCAATAGCATCTACAGAAGTCCGACCCACAACCACAAGCGAGAGCCGGGGAGCCAGGGAGCATGAAATTTACCATTGACCAGATCTACCGAGCTTCCAACTCATTCTCGCTTCAAGATCGGCCAAGGTGGTTTCGGGACCGTTTACAAAGGAAAGCTCGAATGATGTGTAATTTTTAAAAATTTAATTTTTATTTTTTAATTATTTTTTATTTGCCACGTCACACATTTAACGGTCAACTATCAGAGTTGACCGCCACGTCAGTCAAAGTTAACAGAGGTTAACGGAGAGTGACCGAACTTGAATTGTTCAACTAATTCGAGTGACTATAAATGGAATAAATTAATTTGAGTGGCAAACGTGAAATTTTATAGCAATTCGAGTGACCAAACTTGCAATTAAGCCCTACTTTTTAGGTGGAAACGTGTTTTAGCAGAGCTTTTATTCCTTTTCTCTTAATTAATTGATCACTTTCAAAAGTAAGCCTATAATTAATCACAGCTCTTTTAATGGAAACGTGTTTATTCAAAACTTTTTCATCTTCATCTTCCTTGTTCTTTTCTTTTGCAGAATAGTGAGACGAGCTCCTCTCAAGCACATCAATGACTTCGATTGCTGCTACTTGGTCGGCGGCTTTAGGGGGTCAGACCCTGTTCTCTATTTGCGGCGTATTAGGAGTCCCGGCGAACGGGCTTATGGGTGATATTGGCGCTGGGTGAAGAGTCTCAGTAGTAGAAGAAGACGGCCAACAACAGCAGAAGAAGGAATTCGGATTTTGTGACTTTCAGCAGCAGGAGAAGGCGACGGCTATCGGCGGAAGAGTTCGATTGGGAGCAGGAGAAGGCGCCGGCTGCCGGCGAAAGAGTTCGATTGGGTTTTGGCCTTTTGGGAGATGAAACGACGATGTATAATTGTATATTAATTTTTTTCCTTAAAAAGAAATTTACAGAAAAGGAATTAAAACTCTGAACAAATACGTTTCCACCTAAAAAAGAGTTAATGGAGCCTTTTAGACATGTGGCGATCAGCTATTGGCCGGGAGTACCACATCACTAATTCCACGTGGTACTCCCGGTGTATGCAATAATTTCTCAAAAAAAGGCCTACTTTCTCTCCTTATCATTTTATGACGTGGATCAACAAAACCTCTCCTACTCTAATTACCGTCATTAAATATGATTTTGAAAATGTCATTGTCATAAGAACCGAATTGAATTAACGGCCGGGCCAGTAGAATCGTTAAACTAATTACGATACCGTTTCGATTCATTGTTTGGATGGTTATTGATGAGCCAAACTATTTTTCACGGTTCCACATAAAATCAAATGAACCAACACAGTTTAACTGGTCCACTGATTTACTATTTTAACGATTTTTTTTTACAAAACTCATTAACATAAACTAAGACCAGCAAATCATAATCATTAATTTTATATATGCTTCTTCTTCTCATTCCAATCTTGTTGTCGACTTTACTTTGTCCACTACCAACTGAAACCGTAATTTTTAATTTGAATTAAAATAATATGGTTTCTTTTGTGAGATGGTTTGAATTATTTATTAGATATTTTAGTGATGATGTGAATTTGAAATTGTTTATGGTCAACTTCATTCTTTAATTATTGTAATATACAAGTCTTATATGTTATATATATGTATATATATCATGAACGGTTCGGTCAATGGTTGACCAACGATTTTGTAACGGTTAACCACTAAACCGTAAACCACTACCTTTTCCGGTTTAGTCTCCGTTTCGTTTATGAAAATAGAGGTAAATCTACATATTAGAGCGGTTTTGTATTGGAACTAGGGTTGCAGGCGAGCCGAGTCGAGTCAAGTTTTTGATTAGTTTGAGCTCGCTCGTTTGCAAATTTTTCCACTAGAACTCGAATTTTGATAATCCAGCTCGAGCTCTACTCGGTACAGCTCGGTAAATGCTCATTAACACAGCTTGTCAAACAAAGTAAAAGCTCTGCTCAAAATGAGCTCGATTTGAAATCATTCTTGCTAAAAAAAATGTTTACACATAAGAATTTAAATGATAAATATAACAATAGAAACTGAAAATAACAACTAATTTCCATACACATCCTTATTTACAAGATAATGTTCATGTTTAGAAGAGTAATTAATCATTTCATAAGCTCTAAACAAGCCAGCTCGCTAGCTCAACAAGCCATCGAGTCAAGCTAGCTCACGAGCTTATCAAGCTGGGCATGGTCTAGCTCAAGCTTGGCTCGTTTACTAACGAGTCGGTTCGCGAGCTGGCTTGTTATCTAACGAGCCGAATATCGAACGAGTTTTCTCCGATTCGAACGCCGAATTGCTCATCAACAACTTGGCTCATTTGCAACACTAATTGGAACCTAAACTAAAAATTATTAATAATTAATAATAGCATTGATTTGGCTATTATTTTTAAAAATAAATTTGTACAGCAAAGAACATCCATTTAGGAGGATCATGCGAATAAAAATAATAATGCAAAGACAAAAAAAAAATGTTTAGTTCCAATACAAACAAAACATTATCTAGACATTTGTTGTTAGAAGAGACAATTTAACAGTAAAATTTTTAGGGGCGTAAGGATAGGGAGGCGTAAGGTAAGGAGGAGAAGTATGGTTTTTTGGACATGATCTTCAGACGGTAGTCAACGTATTTTTTAAATTTATCTATAAATTTTCGATGGACAATATCTCTTTCGTTTTACTTTTTTCAAAAATATTTGTGTAGAAAAATCAAATTTTCGTACTCTACAAGATGATATACATTTTAATATTTTAAAAAAAAACATTCACGTCATAATGATAATATCATGATATTAGAAGGATAATAATATTATGATATGATAATAATATTGTGTTGTTATTAGTTTTAGTGTTTTACCATAATAGTGTTGTTATTCTTACCATAGTAGTAAAATTATGTTATTCCTGTGACGAGATGATATTATGAAGTCTTATCTTTGATAAAAAAAATATTTATAATCATATCACTGTATATATTAATTCTGTTAGTCTCACTATAATGATAATATCATGACATTGATAAGATTAAAACAAGTACATATTTTTTAATGATTTTTTATCCAATCATAACAAAAATGAATGAATTAATTAAAAAATAGGCGATTTAAAAACAGTAGGCTTTGACTAGTAAATAACCCCTTTCTTCTAGAATTCGTGATAGCAAGGAAAAATATAAGGACGTAGAAATAACAATGGTGCACCTCCTTATCCCTACATGAATACTTGGAATGAAGGTTGTAATTAATTATACTTGATTTTTGTGCAAGGGAGTATTTGTATACAGTTATTTTTAGCGCTTTGCTACGGTAGCAGTCAACTGCAGAATCGTACAATTTCACTCATTCAACAAAATAAATATGTTATCCCATCAACCGTAGTTTCCAAA